CTTGGCACCTCTGAAAATGGATGTGGTGTTTTCTTTGGTATTTCAACTTCGTAAAACCAGTTTCATTTTCATAATTTAACTGAAGGTTAGCCCTCATATTAACCAATTCATTTGTTAAAGATGGGAACTATTTCTTTTACATTCAGGTCAATGATTTTTTTAATGAAATTCTTTTTCATTAGGAAGGAGAATTCTGAACCATCTGTAATTCCATTTATGTTCTGAAAGTACCTAGAAGATGAATAGAGTATGTGACTGCACACAACATTTTGTCTGCTACCCAAAGGTTCCCAAAGGGTGGGCAGTGCAGCGTGTGCCTTGATGTCCCACCAGTTAAAGAACTCTCCGTAGTGAAACCTTAGGATGTTTTCTGTAGTGGATCACAGATAGTGCCATCCAGCGCCTGCAGCAGAGGACTAACCAAACTGAAAATCAAGCACACGTTGGATGCATGTAATAAGCAGAAAAAAAAGCAGGTGGTGAGTCCAGTAGACTGTTTTAAATAAGCATTGGACAGATAAAAAAGTCTGCTGTCAATTTTTCTACAAACTGATGCAGGAATCCAGTGGGTTGTGCTGAAGGTTGTAGTAGATCACAGATTATCTCACTTACTATCTGTGAAAACACCCACCTTTAAAATAGCTACTAGCAGTCTTCTGGATGTTCGTTTTAGCTGGTAAGTACTGTTGGACAGTTCTGTCCCTGGCTGTCTCTCCCTCCCTCAGAACGGAAGAATTCTATTCAGCAGCTCCCTGTAGAAGCTGAGAGGAGGCACCTGTCTCTGGGCATCACCAGGCATTTGCTTAGGGATTGTTCCCTCTCTTATCTTTTACCGTTTTTCCTATAACCAGTTTCACTCAGGTACCAAAGATTTTAAGTATGTCACACCAGTGTGCTAGACTTATAAATTCAGATCACTAAAACACTCCCGTGTCATTCTGAAAATGATCAAGAAGAAGCCACTTCGGCAATCTTTAGGTTTAATGGTGAGCATGCAAAGACTATGCATTCCAAACTAAAACTTGAGAAGCTATAACAAAACAATGAGAAAGCAGTTACACAGCCATCGCTTTTTGCGTGCTGTGTTTAAATAGCTCAGAGTAAATCCTGGCAAAGATTAAATATTTATGATTACAGTATCATCCTTTCCATGGACTGTGCATCTCAGACAAATATGACTTTTTTGAATGTCAAAGTTCATTTGATAAGCCAAAATTTTGTCCTTTATCTTAAATCTTTTCCTGTAGTTGATGAACATAGATGTTTTTCTCGCATTTATTATGTCTCTCTACACGATTTTCCTCCTTTCAAACTTGCAGAATGCTCTTGTTTCTGCTTGTATTTCCATAAAGCCTATTGATCCCGGTCAGCATCACATACTTTTGTTCTAGAACTGATACACGGACAAAGTAAGAGAGTCTCTGTCCTGAAGAGTGTACAACCTACAACGGAAGGCTCTCCAGACAAGAGCCAGCAATGAACAGGCTCACAGAGCTCAAGTCCCTCTTGAACCTTATTCTTTGGCAGATTTTAGCCGCTTCAAACCTAGACCCAAGCTGAAGAGGCTGCAGTTCTACACTGTAAGACCTATATTTTTTGCCTAGAGTCCCAGTGAAAAACCTAATGACCGAATTGTGGACTCCCCTGGATGTGAGAGTCACACTCTCCCACTGACTCAGTTCACTGCACGGAAAGGCATGAGAAGTTGCTGGGTCTGGGGAGAAGAAGTCCAAGAAGCCTCGCCCAGCAGTTGCTTGTGGCAAGGGAAGTAATCCAGGATGGAGGAATACCATGCTCTGGTATTTTCCTGGGCCCAGGATAATTTCTGCTTTAAGTAGACTATGCAGTGTAAATTGTCCAACTAATTCTGAGGAATAAAGCACGGTACTCCCTACACCTTCTAGTTATGCCGTAACCATGAGATAACTAACCCAAGTTCCACCTCGTCTTCTCTCTCTCTCTCTCTGTCGTGCCAGAGTAGAAAGCCAAACTACTGGTAGCATAGCTAGCTGGACATCCTGCCACTTCATAGTTTGTTTCCTTGTAAATATTTGTCCTATTCTAGACTGGGAAATTATGTCAGTCTGAAAAGGATGGCAAATCCGTTTCCATGGTACGTAGCTCATTCTCTAGAGCCAACTAACTGTCCCTCCACAAAAATCTGCTGGCTCTGGTGCCTTTCTCTTCTTTTATTTATGGCTTGCGTGCCCATTTAGATGACTTTCTAAAATATTTAGAGTCCTTTCTTGCTTAAAAAGAAGAAACTTCTTGCATTTGCACATTAAAACCAACATGAAGTAGCCTGGGACTTCGGAGCGTGTTGATTTGCAACTCTCTTAAGCTCCACAGCAAACCTATTTTTTTTTCTGACTTCGTGCTTCTGTGTGAAACGGGAATTTCTCTTGCTTTCCTTGACTGTTGTGAGTGGGTGACATGTAGCTAGCTAGAAGGGACGGATATTAGTTTTACTCCTACCACCTACTTCCAGGTTATTAAGTACTCTCCTCAATTAAGATTTCCTGTTCACGGAATCCACCCAGTAGGCCCATGGTACTATATTTTAGCCCAGACCTCCCATACAAATAGACCCATCCTTGCAATGAAGACAACCACAGCATGATATTCCGAGCAAAGAATGGTACTTGTCTGAAAGTCCAGAACCTCAGCTGGCCTGTTGCAACAAACACCCCGCATTGCCACAGACAGATTGGTTTGTTCCCTCTCTTCATTTTTTCAGTAGGAATATGGCAAATCACACTCTCCTTCCTTTGGCTGGTTTCCTTTGTTAAAAATGTTATCCTCACGTGAGTGGGTTACACTAGGTATTGCTTTATTCACAACTCAGAGTTGGGCCATCACCTCAGTGAGTGGCAAAGCTTAACTCGCTAGACCAGTTTATATACATTTATTAAACTGATTACATCAAGTCTAGAATCTTCATAAGTTTCTAAGCAACCGTTCCATTCCTTTAAGTACGTCATTTATTAAGTTCTTTCTGTTCTTCTGTCTACGTAGAATTCTCCCTCGCTGGTTTCAGGCCTTGCTTGGTTTCAGGGTCGCCTCGGCTTCTTTTGTGAATTCTGTTTGATACAATCCATACAATTAATTTCTATCCCAATTGTACACATACCGATTGTATGGTTTCTTAACACAGCTGTGTTTACACAGCTGAATCTATGTTCTAGTTCTATGATTTTATTCTATTCTATAATCAATCTTTATAATCAATCTCTAACATCCTTTAGTATTGAACTGGAATCTTTCAGGAAAGAGTCTATCATTTTTGCATGGGCTCAGGTTTAGACGAGAGACTCCAAAGATCAGTGATACCAAGAATACATTTTCGAATTTAGAAAATCTGGCGGAATTCAGATATTATCTGTATGTAGGCAGCTGCACAGAAATGGCCTGATTTCCAAAAGGTTTTGCAAGCACACAGTGTGATTGACTTGAACAGGAAGAGGACTTTTAGGAGTTTTTGGAAAAACATCAGGCATCTTTTGGGCCTAAATAAGACTTTGGATATGTGCCTTTAAGTCAACATGTCATGAAGTAGATATAATCTGGTGGGGGTTATTTGAGAGCTAGTGTTCTTCTCCTGAAAGCCTGACTATTAAGTTAGGTTTCCTAAAGTGATTCTTTAGATCTCCTGCTCTATGTCTTAATCTTTGTCCTCAGGATCCATTTCCCCAACACAGAGATCAGTGAAAATCTCTTTGATGTCCAGTTCTGCTTTCCAGTTTATTTATTCCCTGTCTACTGCAGCATAGTCTTAACACCCCTCTTCCTAAACTGCGCTTGGACTGGGTTCTGTTTTGACAGTCTGAGTAGTTTTTCTCTTCCAGATCAAACATCAGCTGCTTTTCCTAATGTGTCTGTGCATGCACACTGAGGAAATGCGATGTCTTTTTCCTTCTGCTGTTCAATTCTTACTTGTGCCTTGTACTTCTAGATTTCCACCTAAGGACTATATTTCTCAGGTTACCTGAGCTGCATTTGTCTAAGCAAATATACAATATATTTTGTGTGCAGGTATATAGCATTGATTTTTACCACAAACATTTCAGGAAAGGAAGACCAAAGCAGATTCAAGTACCCTGAGTACATATCTAGGCAGGCTGTTTCTCAGGAGGTAGGAAATTTTCTGAAAACGTGGCATAAAGGAACCTGTTCATTATTTGGGTAGAATTTTGTGAATTGATTCAACTGAACAAAGTGGCAGGAAGATTTGTGGAACATATCAGAACATTTCCCTTTGGGAATGCCAAAATGTTTTGAGAAACATTATGTTTTGCTTGAGGGCAAACAAAGTGTTTTGAGCTGACCCCGAGCAAAATCTCTTTTGATGTTTTACTTAATCTTCTGTTCAGAAAAGTCTGTTTCAGTTTAACTCAAGCCAGTTTCTCTTCTCTTGACTTTTGATTTGGCCACTGCACAGAAAAAAGAAGCCATTATTCTGTGAACTCTGCCTGTTTATACACACAGGCTGGCCTCACCACTAACCACCTGGAATCTTTGAAGTGCATGAGGGAAAGCTGGCAAAGGGCTGGAGTTAAAACCTGGCCCCTGCAAGCTAAATTCTGTGTTTCACAGTTTAGAGAAAGAGGAAGAAAATCAATTGTGTAAAGTTTTATGGTTGCTTTTCTGAAACCCTAATGAATTCAGGGTTGTGTGAAGCAAGTGTTCTTGCTGTGCTGTGCAGGATGCAGTGGCAGAAGCAAAATGACAGGTTTTTTTAATTAGAAAAGGTAAAGCTGAGAAGATCAGGGAACAGCTTTTACAGTGATGCGAGGCTTTAGTTTGTGTTGTGTTAGAGTTAGGTTATGTAAAAATAAACCTGAGTACAGAGACCTCCAGTCTTAAGTAGAAACAGATGGGTGTGCAGCTACTCAGTCCATCTGTAGATCAGATCATGTGCAAGTACAAAAATACTGATAATTAGCTTTTAGAGAGGACTCTCATCTGTTGATCTTGAAGCGTTTTACAAGGAGGTCAGTCCCATGGGGCTAGTTCCATTTGAAGAAGGAGAAATAAAGCCACAGAATGATGGAAAGGCCTGGAACAACAGGGCAATAGCAGGAGGAAGAAGTCTAGGATATCCAATTCCAGTGGCCAATTTTTTGGTCCAGTTCTTCTCTGTCTGCGAACATTTGGGGCAGTGGAATAGAAGTGAGTACACAGGAAACCGCTGCATTACTAGGACAGCAGTCTGCATTTGAAGTTACAAGAGAGGTTCCGTTTCAAGGATTGCCGTGTGACAGACTGCTGAATAGTGGTTTATTCTCTTTGGAGGACAGTTATCTAAGTTGTGTGCTAAATTCCTGAATTTGAGTGTTTTGCTCTGCAAATGAGACATTCACTGGAAGAACTTTGTTTGTTTCTCAGTTTAAACACCAATTTCATTACATAATACAAGTAGTGTATGTATGTTAGGAAAGCTTACAGAGCTCTGCTTTACAAACTAATTCAGAAAATTGTCGGTTTCAGCTTTAACTATTGTTGTGAATGAAATCCTGTATTAGCAGTTCTTGGCAGGTCTCTGGAAGGACAAAGATACTATGAAATCATTGCAGTAGCTTTGTCAGAGAAGATCAGAAAGAGAGTTCAGCCCAAGGGTTTCTGCAGCACCTTCACCAGGGTGACCAAAGGTCCCCTGAGAGTGTGACTGCCACCATGGGCACAGGAGGCTACAGCTAGGTTGGCATCACACACATGCCCCTGACCCTGGGTCCAGAAGAAGGAAGAGAGGCACTGTAATCCACTCTGCCTCACCAGAAACCTAGGCTTGGTCATCCTGTAGAAGGCATGACCAAACAATCATTTACCTCAGAAACATACAAGAACTCTTAAAAAAACCAAAAAGCATAAGACAAATTGCAAGGCTGGCAAAGACAGGCTGCAAACTTAGTTATTTCAGTGCAAATCAGACTACCCTATGTACTTCTTAGCACTCACTCACTGCTGGTCACCCTAGGAATACCCTCAGTCAGGATTTGAGGACAGAAACAGGAATATTTTCAAAAGCACCACATCACTTGCTGCTTTACCGTACATATACAGATATGTGCTCTGAAGGCATGAACAAGTCAGCATGGCTTAGTCAGTGCTCAGTCAGCATGTCAGCTGCAAACTGTGAGCACTTTACACTTCAACGGAGAAGCATTTCCAACAGTCGAGGTTGTTAGTGCTGCACAGTGCTCACACGAAGTGTTCTGTGGCTCTGGCCTAAAGGGCTTGCACTTTCTGGCAGAGAGTTGTGTCAGAACAAGCTTTGCTGCCGATAAATTTCTGCTTGTAAACACTGGAATCTTCCTGCATTTCAGGGGCATGGGCTTCTTAGCACCAAAACCCATTGTTATGGGGGGAACAGAGTCGTCCAAGAATACAAAATCAAAAAAAATACTGTAGCCATGGGTCTTACTTGGCTACTTCACCCAATGCTGCACCCGTGTACCTGATTCTGGGTGATTTCAGAAGGAATCAAAGCTCAAAATCCTGGAAAAGAAGCCAAGACTTGGGCTCCTAAATTAGTCAGGCACTTTGAAAATATTACCCCGTAGCCTTTAGACTGCTTAATATCAATTTTCAAAAGCTGCACTGTGGGATTAAAGTAATTTAAATATCATGGTACACCACGTTGGCAGTAAAACATATTCTCTGAGATCATGTTATTCATAAATAACTTAAGACGACTATGAAGTGAGTGATTATTAAGTAGCACTGAGACTTATATAGTCCAGATAATGGCCACAATTACATTCCTTCATTAAACAAAACATGCCTGCGCTTATAAGTAGAAAACGCAAAAAGATAACACAACTAAAATGTTGTTTCCAAGGGTTCAAATCACTAGTGTTGGTCTGTCGCCCGATGATGGTTGTTTTGCAGTGAAAAATGCTTGTTGAGACATTTCTCTTCTCTAGGTTTCTGGGGGCTTGTCAACAATGCAGGAATATCAACATTTGGCGAGACAGGGTGGCTGTCTATGGAGAAATATGAAAAATTTGCAGATGTGAATCTCCTTGGGAGCATCAGGACAACCCTGGCATTTCTCCCCCTTCTAAGGAAATACAAGGGTAATGCTAATCCCCTGTTATTTAGAGTTGTAGAATAATTAGCTTACTATAATCAGGGTAATGTAGCATCTATAAAAGAAGCCTTAATTGTCTCTCACTGAACAGAAATGACAGCCTCCTTCTGTGTGGCCTGAAAGAGCAACTTGATCCTGAAAAGAGGATAAAGTCGTAAGGGGAAAAATACCCTTAAAGATTCTGTCTTTACAATACATAGACAAAAGTGTTTAGAAATAATGAATTATGTCAGCGTTTGACTCAAAAAAGAGAAAAAATGCTTACGGTAGATCATTAAGCCCAGGCAAGACTTTGTAAGCACTGACAGTCAGAAAACACAAAGATCCAATAAAATCCTTCTTAACTTTATTATTTAGGCTTTACTATTTTACTGTTTGGCAATTAGGAGCGGAAGGATGATCCTACAGAGGTGAACTAGAGACGTCCACCTTCCAGTTCCAGGCCTAGCAAGACCCTCTCTATGACCTTGGGCAGGAAACTTGAAGTATGTGAAAGAGTGCCGTACAGAGATGCATGGGTATTGAATGGGATAAATGCACTTGCATGGACCTCCATACGCAGGGCTTTACCTCTCTTCGAAAAAGTGGTTCAAACAGCCCTCTACAGCATTGCAGCACATCTCAATTGCTTTGCAGTTTGTTCCCTACCTGTCCCCATCTGTATTTGCGAAAGAAAGATACCCTTATCCTTTCTCCCCCTTTTGCTTAGCTTGTCTATTTAAGTTGTAAGCTCTTTAAAGACGAGGATTTGTTCTGTGTGTATACAGCGTCGAGCACAGCAAGGGCTAGGTTTCATCCGGAAGCCCCAGATGCTACTGTTACACAAAACGTTGGTAAGATAAAAGCATCCTCTTTTTGGCTACTCTGCTTGGCTGCCTTTGGTTAATGACATTCTGATGCAAGAAAAAAGAAACCTTTAAACACTGCAAGCTGAATGTGTTTTTGCAAAAGAATGTGCTACTGCTTATACCCAGTGAGTGTGTTATGTGGCCATTACACGGGGAGACATCACTTTTTTTCTGTGATGTCCTACTTACTGCTAAAACTCTGTGATGCCGATCCACCAGAGGCATTTGTATGATTTCATGAATTGCAAGGGGTTACTCTGAAGTGAAAGGGACTAATTGTGTGTATGATATTAAGCACACACACAAACTCTTAGAAGATTGGGGTCCGGATGGCTGCACATACATAGTACCTTATCTCAAAAGAGCATTCTGCATCTCACTTCTGTCTGTCAATGCTGTTTTTATTAACTGACCGCACTCCATTTTCAAGTCCCAGCTATGTAGAAGAGGAGGCCATGGCACTCTTCAAATGAAAAGCTCGAATTGTAGATATTAGAGCATTTGCCTGGGAAAGCTGGGTTTCAATTACCTTGGGCAAAGAGAGAAGTTAAATGATGCATCCAGCATCGTGGGTGTGTGCCCCAAATCACTTTGCTACTGGATAAAGGAGGCAGAGGTCATCCTACCATCCTACCACCCAGTAGCTGTGTTCTGAAGGAAGGGGCTGACTGCCATTTTAGCATAAGCACCTGTTCCAAGAAAAACTTTAAGATTATTATTATTATAAAGGGAGATATTGCCCTCCAGCCTAGAATTAAGCATCCTACTCCGAGAGGAGCAACGCTTCCCCATAACTTTTCCAGATGGCCAGGCCAGCTGATGCATCTTGATCAGCAAGCTGGTAGTTGTTCTGTTATTGTATATAAGATTTATTCCAGACGCAGTGTAGGAAGGCAGGGAATGTAATTCAGAAAGACAGATTTCACTGCATTCCCTTGATACCCTTTTGATATCCCACAAGCCTATAGCGTGTGGTCAGATTCGGGCCCAGACATTATCTGCATCTGTGAGAGCAACAGGAATGCAACTACAGTCTCCGTATTGTTAGCGATGAGGCCATCTTCTCTCTCACCTCTGGTATTTATATATCCACATTTGCACATTTCTTACTCTATGATATGACGATGTGATAGAAGCTTACAAGTAAACAGTGGAAATGAACCACAGCCCAGCGCCTCAGATCAGGAATCCCTGCTATTTAATGCATGCCTGCACTTGGCAAGAGTTATAAAGGGGAAAAAGCAGCACAGATCAGGGAAACCACAGCAAAGCAGTGTAAGGCTGCACACATTTTGTTGTCACCTTTCTCTGGGGAAGCTTATCACTGTGCAGTCTGATTTTGACTTTATATGCACAGTTGTAAGCCAGGTCTCAGTGCAGAGACATCACTGGCGCAGAAAAAATGGTATTAGTAGTCATATATCCACTGCAGGGAAATTTGCCTGCTACTCTCCTCTGCAGTCCTTCTCCTATTACTGGCATAGTCTTTTAGTACTATTTTTCAGTCTAAAGCTTTTAGGCGACTGCTTTGTTTCCATCTCTTTCATCCTGTCTCAGACTCGGAAGGAATAAGCAGCACGTTGGGAATGTGTTACGCTTTGTCCAGTCCAGCATCTGTCACTAGATGGAAGGGAGATTTTTGTGTGAAGTTCTCTGCTTAGCAGAGCTGAGTGCACTTCTGTGCTGGGACTGCACACTTACATGGCCCAGCTTTGGCATACTATCTAGTAAAACAGCATCATACTAAATACCAAGTTACTAGCAGTTCAAAAGACTCGGGTAAATCAATTCTGTGTTAAAAACTGAGAGTAAAGTTATATTTGCACTATTTTCTTTCCAGGACGTATTGTTTTCATGTCCAGCATTATTGCCTATTTTGCTCTGGGAAATGGTATTTATTCTATGACCAAGGCAGCTATTGAAAAATTCTGTGATGCTCTAAGACTGGAAATGAAGAAGTTTGGTGTCCAGGTAAGTGATGTAACTATTAGCTATTGTATGAAACTCCCTGCTATTTTTAACATTGATTTTCAAACAAGAAAGAGAGAAATTTTGCTCTTGAAACTTCCTGCAGAGCCAAAATGCATCTTTTTGTGGGGAAAAAAGCAAGCAACTTGCACAAAGAATACCAGACAACAGCGTGGGAGTGGAAATTTTCGCCAAGGGAACAAGAACAAGCATATGGAAAATAATATCTAATCTTGTGCAAAGTGAGTTCCATGCATCTGAATGACAAAGATAAAGATCAGAGCTGAATCCATGGGTGCAGCTTCCCCTTGGAAAGAGGTGGCTTCTCTGTGGCTAGTCAGTGAGGTAGAAATCACTGAGAACAGTGGACCTGGCTGATGTTTGCAGTTCTGAGAAGCTGCGGGATAGCACTCCTCCTCTTTGTGCCAGCACTCAGACTTCCACTCTTTCTCCGCGTCCTCTACAGTGGAGAAACAGATTTCTGAGCCAGGGCTGCCTGAGCAGCGCCATGCTCTGTGGAGAGCTCCTAACAGCACCAGGTAACTGAAACTTTGGGCTGGCTGCTGGAGCAATGAGCCCAGACACGAGCGCTGTGCAGTGAGAAGGAAGGCTTGTCACCTGCCTGAGGGGTTCTTTCTCTCTCTCTTCTCTCACCTCAGTGCTTAAAAGCTCCTTCCTTTTAGGGGGAACAGCTACACTGCAAGAGGCAGTATCGTGCAGAGTAATTATGTTTTCATTCTCTTAACCTAAGAGGCTCTAAGAGTGCTCTTAGTGCAGTGTAAAAGCAACACTGATAGTCAAACCTGAAGCTTAGATCACTAAGTAGCTTCACCGGGCTTTTTCACTGGAGTCACTCCACTGCTGAAACACTCAAACGTTAAAAATATTTCTGAGCGGATTTACATTGGTGTACTTTTTATATACAGAGATTTAAAGCATTGTTCATAAGCTTTGTGTTGGAAGAAGTTACAGCAATGCTTCTATTAGCTACCCCTCTCAGATAAATATGTAATGCTATAAAATGCAAGTGGTTTTACGCATCCTAATACCACACAGCATGATGAGGATTTGAACCCATTAACTGAGGATAATCTCAAATGCATGGAAGAGCTTAGTTTAACAGGTTAGCTACTCTGGTTGTTCTGGGATTTTTACTGTCCCACCATCCCCAGAATAGCCCCAGCACACCATACAGTGAGCCAGGCCAACAAACATTTCCAGAATATCTGAGAGCGCCATTTTTATGTTTCTCACTGTGTGCAAAACACTGGCTGGCATTTGCCGCAGAACCTACTGTGCAGAGAGCCTGCAGAATACACGGTCCCTCTTCCCTGCGCTCCCCTCCCCTGCTCTGCTGTTCCCTTTGCCCTTACAGGAGAAAGTCGCCCAGAGGTGGCAAGGAACAGATGGAGCTGTCTCTGTCCCACTGAAGTCTGGCCAGGCAAGCTGGCTGCCTACAGGAAACAACGTACGTGTCTTCCATAAGAAAGAAGGCTACAGAAAATCAAGGGAAGGGAGAAAAGTATCATCTCTCGGAAGTCTAGCCAACTCCAAAAAAGCTCCAAAACATGAAGTTTTCAAACCTCCTTTAAAATAAATGTGGGAATTTTACTGTTGGCATTAGTTTGGCTAATACCAAGCACTTTTGAAAACAGCACCCACAAGGAGGGCTCCAAGAGACATGCTGTGGCAAACCTACCTAAGGCAGCGTAAGATGCCCCCAGCTCTGCGCGCTGCCTCTCCGCTGGAGCTGACCTGCATTCCTTCCTGCTCTCTGCACCCCTGCAGCGCACAGTGTGCCGGCTGCCATGCAGGCCCGGAGGCAGGCACGTGCCGGTACGGACACACAGCTGGTAGCCTCTGGTAGATGGGCTGGGTGGCAGGTTGGAGACACTGAGGATTTAAACTACCACAGACTTTCCAGAGAATGCCTGCCAGATCCCCAAGTCTCTTACACAGCTCAGCACTGTTCTTCCTCACCTTGTGCTGTAGTCTTTAGAAATCACGTCAGTTAAATGCCATGGAGTTTTTAATGTGGCTTATCTACCAATAGTTTGAACGAGCCCACTGCTAACTGAGGAAAAACATGCATACTGTGAGCACTCAGCCTGCTCTGAAATTCCCCAGAAGCCTCAGAAGTTAGCAGAACAGTAGTAACAACACATGCAAAAAAAACAGGTGCAGCAGCAAAGGATTTGTATGCTTTCAGTTTAAATCTACATGCAAAGAAATCTACGGAAATTTGCTAATGACTTCAGTGAGAGCTAGACCAGGACCTTCGGTCCCCTCTGTACCTGGCTGACAACAGCTATTTTCCTTTTAATTACACCTGCTTGGGGAAAACAGCAGTTCTTTCCCCAGTACCTTCTAATTTTCTTTGACATGTCCTTTTGTCCCAAACTGGGGCAAAAAATTACCAATTGCAAGATTTGCCGCTGAGTGAAAAATCCAAAGTATTCCACTTTGGAGACATCAAAGTCATGCTGAAATGCTTTGTCTCAGCATTGTCAAAACATTTATACCATTAAGCATTCTGTAAAAATCAAAGATGCACTACTGCATTCTGTGAAGGTATGCTGAGTAGTCAAAAACAAGAACTTTAACATGAGAGCGAAATGAGGAAGTCAGAATAAAGCACCTCTGCAATCCGAAACATTTCACAGGAATATATTTGATATCAGTCAAGTTTTCAAGGCTAAAATTTCAACAAAGCAGCATTTGCTGGAAGAAATCTGTCTGCATATACCTTTTGATCTCTTTTATTGACTATAGTATTTAATTGAATTCAGAATGACTGATTGCATCTTGATAATTTTTACATCTTGCTTTTAGGTCTGTATTATTCAGCCAGGAAATTATGCACGCTCTACAAAAATTCAGCCGCTAGTCAGTGCCGAAGAAATTTGGAATGAACTCAGCGAAGAAGAAAAGGCAGTTTACAATAAGGAGTATGTTCAAGAGCGGGCGAACTTTTTCAACAGCATTCTCAGCGAAGGAAGCGCTAATGGCCATGAGGTTGTAGATGCTATGGTAGATGCTTTGACGTCTCCTGCACCCAAGGCACGTTACATGGTAGCGAAGCTGAAGGAAAAAGCACTGGTGTTTGTGTGTGCTTTATTCCCGACTGTTGTGATGGATTCTGTTTTGTCTTATGCTCTGAGTAAAGTAAAACTTGCATAGCCTACGTTGGTACTGTTCAGTGACTCAGGCGGGGCAGTTTTTTAAAATGTGAAAGCCAGGGCTGAATCGGATGCTCCTAGAAATCAGTATAATGACACCAATTACCTGATACAAACTTTAGAGGGTCTCCCTAGTCAGAACTGTCACTTTTTCATAGAGAAAAACATAAAGGACCCCATGTAAAATTAATATATTTTTCTAGGTAACTTTATTTCATAGCATCATAGAACGGTTTGGGTTAGAAGGGACCTTCAAGATCTATGCACTGGGAGTCTAAAGATTTCTCCCATGTGGAAAAAAGATATGGCCACTTATGCTGCTTTAGGTATTGCTTAGAAAATTTAATGCAGCTATGTCTAATGCAGTACCAGGTTACTGTGTTACAGACATGACAGAGACAAAATGTAGCATATCCTACAGGGCAACTGCACACCCGAAATCATTACTGCAGACACGAAAATACCTTATTTGTAGGAACCCAAGTAGTAATTTATTGGAGGTGATGCAAAAGGTTAATGGAAAAGTCAGGAATGAGCAATAGACCTTGAAATACTTTGAATGGAGTTAAGTGGCTGTAGAAATTTAGGAAGAGTCGAATAATAAAGTTGTAATATGGAAACAGTGTCTTGGCTAACTGCAGCATTTTTTCAGGTGTTCTGGATAAATCTGTAACAAAGCCAGTGTGTCATGGACTCTGGAAAATAAGTAGCACAGTCCATTTACAAATGAATATTCAATCCTAAGTAAACTCAATATTTTATCTAATGTCTGGATTAATCAATGCGTTAACCTAAAGTGTAGTCAGAGCGCTAAACACCAAGGTGACAGATGTATGCAGTAGCAACCTGTAGCTCAGAAAGAACATATACAGCCTGAAGCTCTGTTTTTGCTACTATTATAGGGAAAAAGGTGTGATGAAAAAAATATTTATTAACATGAACAGGAAAACTTTATTAACATATTTATATGAGTAACTGAGCACAGTGGCTTCATTAGCAGTCTCCTAGTAACTGTTGTAGAAAAGATTGCTGTTTTACACATACAGAGTTTTAAATTTTGCTTGGTTGTGGCATGGCACAAAATCCAAGAACTCTGGGACCAAAAGACCCCGGAATAGCTGGGATCAACTGTGGTGACAGCAGCAGAACAGGGCAGCAACATGGAGCATTAGCCTCCCCCATGCCAGGTCTCCCACATCGAACCAAAGACTGCTGTAAGTTAACCTAGTTAAGTTTTGGTCTGAACCAGAAATTGTCTTCCCTTGTATAATTACTGAGAAAAGTTACTCTTGTGATGGGTGATGTGACAGTCAGGGTCAGGAACATAGGTGAGATGAGCAAACAGTGACTATTCCAGCTCCTCTCCTGATACACTCAGCAGTGGAACAGCCCATCTTACTGCACCTTTTGTAGATTGTGGAACATCTTACTTCTCTTTCCAAATGCTGGACCCATCCCTGGAGCTGGCATTGGTAAGAGGAGAAGCCAGGGCTGCCACCTGTTGCCCTGCCCATCAACAGCAAGATTATCAGATGATTATCATCCACTCTCCTCATTAAACCACAACAGAGCAAGGCCAAGCAAGGGAATAGGAACAAGGCTTATTCCAACTGTTTTCTCGTATAGGAATTCCCCCTGCTTGACCTCAGGGATTTCAGCAGCCTTACATTGCTTTGGGAGAGTTGCTTTCATGCTCTTAGCTGTTCTTTGTGCAGATTACCCTTCCTTACACTAAGTAGCACTGAAGTCAGCAAGCATCTTTGAAACCCAGATGTTTCTCCATCAGGGCCAGGGTACATGTGCTTCTCTCTGCCTCAGAGACAATGTCACTTTCTGTTACGTGGTCTCCCTTCTATTTGCATTTCTTAAAGCTCCTGCAGTAAGACGTTGCTGAGAGCCAGCACCACCAGAAGAGCTGCCTCCTAGATACTGACGACATGAAATAACTTTCAACTGAAAATTCCTCCTTTATTTGCTGTTTGTGTGGCGAAGCATGTGATCAATATTTCAGTAGCCTCATGTAACATAAGATGAACAACACTCCAGAACATTTATCCCTTTGTCTTGAAAACTAAGAACTCACAGTGTGTAGTATCTCACAGGGGGTACAATTACAGGACGGATGAGAACAGATGGGACAAATGAAGGCAGTTTGTATTTTCATTGCTGTCTAACCTGCCAGCATGGAAGCTAACTGAAAAACAGCTCCAAAATTACTATCTTTTGTCTTCCCCCTCAGCTTTTTAATATTATGATCTGCGTATAAAGAACTAATCAAGAGAGAGTCAGAGCTTCAGTCATTACCAGGCCTGATGCCTCCCACTGAAAGTCATCTGGAATCCTCCCACAGGAGCTTCTATGTGTTCCAAGGCACAGCGTTAAGACCCTCATAAGAAATGGTGATGAAAAGGGTGCAGCACTCCCTCCTCCACACGTCTCACAGGGTGCAGAAGTTGTAGGACTAGTAACAGAAGCTTTTAGGGAACAAACATTGCTAACCAAGTCAGTGACAAACTCCAAGGACCCCCAGAGCTGTCGGCTCTTCAGCTGAACTCCTGCCCACCTATGTGTCACTGGAAAGCTCACCCGCCTCTGGGGATCCCAGCCCTCACCCTGACCCACACGGTACTTGGGGAGCACACGCTGGGAAGTGCGCAATTGCTGGCCTGCCCCACCATCCCTTTTGTTACTTTGCCACATCGTAGGGTGAGGAGTGCCTTCCTCTTAGCCAGTAACCCTGAAATCACCTTCACCTCAAGTCAAGTTAAAGCGCAGATCCATACAAGAAGCCGGCATTTACATAAAAAATAAGCAACAGTTACAGTGTTTTAGGAAAAACTTCAGTGACAAAAATAAAAGAGAAAAAAAAGTGTCTATTGACACTGCTCTTACATCTGGAATGCTCCTCTCCCAATACCCAGCTAACCTGCTACAGACGCTTTCCTGGGATTGTTTTTCCATATAGCAGTCATCTCAATGCATTCAACAGAGAACTTCTTGGCAGAACACATTAGCTTTTATCACTACTCATCTTTTGTAAGCCCTGCTGACAGTTTAAGGGTATGTTCAAAGCTCTGGGCAGTTCACACCTTTCTTTGCTTAGTGCAGTCGCTTACATTTTTATCACCGCCATCCCATTTGTATTCCTGCATTACCTTGGTGCTCCTCCAAAATTGAGCTGTCAGCCAAAAAGAGCCCAATGATTTGAGGCTTCAGACCTTCGAATTATTTCCTCTGGTGAGTTTTATTTATCTCTAAAGACAGGGAATACTGTAAGTTTCTCTAATAGGATTTTGATCCTATTTATTTTGGAATTGCTGCAGTACCCTAATACCAGAGCAGCAGCCAGCAAGGCAGAGATGCTCTGCTCTTGAAGCCACAGTGCTTTGAAACATCCAGTATGACGTTCAGCTGTTGAAAAAAAGATGTTTTGCTTCTTAAATCATGAATCTTTATTAGCACTTTCAAAAAGCTGCCGGAAAGATGATCACTGTGAGAAAATAAATCAAGCATAAAGATCTAAATATCCCCCCCCAAATACTTATACACATATCCACACTTGAAGTGAAATACCAAGTACCTACACTTGTTATGGTCTGATTCCAGAGTTTCCACAATTTCCAGAGTCAAGTCATGCAGGTGTTCAGACAGCATCTTCAGTTATTTTTGTACTGGACTAAATTCCAGAACACAGGTGCTAGCGTTTCTAATGTACATTTAATGTGTGCTATGCTATAAAGTGAAAAAAGGAGAATTCACCTGGGCCTTAGGCCAAGACATAGGTGTCTCTGTTTTGGTTTCGGCTGCCGCCGGCAACAAAAGCGCCACACGGCCGC